TTCAGTACATCTAAGTGAAGTTTTCTGAAGTATCAGACAAATATTTAGACACATTTATCTTTTTTCAACTGTAAATATAATGTCAGCAGGATCATCACTTCAATTCCAAAAATATTTGTTATCAAAGTAGTTAATTTGCAACTTGGAATCAGTAAGGCATCAACAGAGACACAATCCATTGGCATACATTATGTACAGTTATTCAATACTGAGCTTACAATGCATTATAGGGCGATTTTCAAACATGGCTGTTTTCGGCTGTTTCGCGAGCGGATAGAGACTTTGTTGCTGTGCTTTTGCCCAGATTTCTCGTGATAAAAGCAAAACAGGACCAGAGTAGCTGTTGTTTTCCGTTTAATTTATTTTGTGAACGATTTTTTGACCAATTTCATGAGAAGATTGAAGTCATCGGACATATTACATGGGAAACAAAACTCCATGTTTAGGCGCCCACTCGGGCTCCTTGGACAAAACTTTAGTCGCCCGCACTTGTAAGTTAGGCGCCTCAGGCGACCGGGCGCCCGTTAGGCAGCAGCCTTGTACATGTTTTGATTTTTGAAAGAAGTAGAGAAATAGCCCGGAAAAAAAATTGACCAACCTCGTATCGAACTGGTGTCACGACAAAACAAACTCGGATGCGGCCGTTCAGCGCCTTTTCCACTTGTGCTAACGAAGCATCAGTAAGAGAATTGCATAATTATACAAATAATAAAACTAGCAGCAAGTACCACGCTTCGGTGACTTCATCATTTAGCAAAACAAAGGTTTCTTTTGTTTTTTGCTCAACAAAAGATCTCCAAAAGATACCCTTGAAAAACTGAGTTTTTTGCATACGTTATTTCTCGAAAACGAAGCGCAAATCAACAAAACAATTATGCAACGATGCTTTTCATGTCAAAACAAGTCAGTCTGCCAAAAATTAGCTCGATCCTGCAAAAAATGAAAATCGACTCAAAATGCTACATATGCCCTTTTTGCACGAAAGCCTTCAATTGTACAAGAAAATAGCTCTTATAAATATTTCTCACATTTTGCTTAAATGTTTGGGATTTATTCCTATATTGACAGGCTTGTGAACATAATACAGAAGCTGCAAGATGTGACAAGTTTACAAGGTAAAGCAAGTTATTTATTAGCTTTGTTCAGTATAATAAATTGTTTCCTACCAACGGTTAAGTCCATTGGAAGATACAGAGAACTGATAAGGAAGTGCAAAGGTAAATTCATGCTGAAGCCTGTAACTCACCTGCACTGCAGAGCTTATTCTGGCTTCAACAGAGAGTGAAACAACTAGGGAGTATTGCTCACAGTGTACTTTCCCTTGATGAATGCTTGTCTTGCACAAGCATACCCCTCTCTGCTAGCAGTTTGTTAATTAATTACTGTTGCAGTTTTGCAGTTGCCATGTATGCTCCAGGGTCGAGAAAGGTACCATGAGAGTTTAAGTAACCAACTCCTCGGTGACACAGTGACCCCAGCTGATGTTTAAACCAAGATTGCTATATCACCAGTCCCGCATTGACTCGTATGTTGACCTGTATTTAATTTCATTTTGGCAGAAAATACTGAGCAGTCAAGTATATTGGCAAAGGAATCTATACCACTGCAAACAATAAAGACAGAACCTGTTAAAATTAGGGAGAGAAAAGAGAGACGAAGGAGCCCTCATAGAACAGAAGCAAGAGAAGAGCAAATAAGCCAAGGTTACAAGTCTTCTGAGAAGACAGAGAGTGAGTTTACAATGACAGTTTTTGAATTTACTGTGCATCTGTACATGAACAAGTAAACCTTTAAATTTCATCTTAGTACAGCTAGAATATACTGTTGTCCAGTACAATGTATCTTATTTGACATTTGAGCATGTTGTATTGCTGTTTATTATGTAAGCACCAATGAAATACTGGGTGAGCTCTCACGTGAAAGCATGATATCTTCGCTCATGAAAAGATCACTGTTGCTATTTAAACAATAGAGTGTTTTTGTCAAGGAACTATCGGCTGATAGTTGCCCTGCAGAAATTTGATGTTCTTAAAACAAAAATTTGCCTGAGAAGCGAAGCTTCGAGGGCAAATATACTAGTTTTAAGAACATCAAATTTCCAAGGGGCAACTATCAGANTTACTTCAGACCTACTACTAGGTACATGTAGAGTGGACAAAAAATATGATGTGTATCTTTCTGACATTTAAGAGTGTAGTATCACTGCATGTGTTTTTACTCATGGGCTGAGTCAGCATAAATGTGAGAACAAAAATTTCACTGTTGTACTAAACAATAAAATGTGTAACTCAAGATCTATTACCCAGTGATTTCTTTTGCAAAACCCCAAGGTTGAACAATTGTTGGCAGTTTTGTGTAGTCGTATAGAATAACAGGCTGCAACAACTATGAAATGGTCTCCCAAGTGTAAATGAACTTTATATCCTGAAGTACATTTTTATTTACATGTAGATTTATTTGAAATCATTTTGCACATTATTTGTCCTCTACTTCCATGCAGTGGGATTGAATAAAAGTATATTTGTACCATAGTATTATTTTTTAATTCTATTTGTACATGTAGTTGCTATACATGTATTTTAGTCTGGCTGGGTTCAAGAATTTTGCATAAACTGTTAAATTGTAGAGTCGCACAACATGTACATGTGAATGAAAAACTGATGGCTTTTTGGAGGCCAGCCCATGGCAATTTTTCTTGTAGGGCTTACAAGGTCTGTTTGTGTGACTGTTCATGATGGATTTTGTCTGTAGGGTGGGTAATATAGCTGTAATGGTATGATATTCGCGTTAAAATGTCAAAAAAAAAATTATGTTTTTAATACGTCTAGAACAAAAGTCAAGCAGCAATGTTGTTAAGACTGTTGGCTTGACATCAAAAGGCTCTACACGAAAAAGAAAGCACTCATCATCTGATGAAGAAGACTCTCAAGGGACAAATCTTCACAGTATTGTGAAAGTGAAGGACAGAAAGTGAGTTGATCACTTAAACATAATGTTAAAGGGCCTGTTATGTTGAAAAATAATGATGAAAGTCACTTTGTAGCATTAGAGAGTTTAAGAAAACCACAATGCCAATGTCAAGGATAACATCTCTAAACAAAAGCAAGCAATACAAAGTGGCTACAATGGCTGTGCACGTGTGTTACATGAGGATTGTACAATTCTTGGTACATTTCTTTGCCATCCTGAAAAACAACATCATGAAATGACCAAACTCTGTGTTGTGTAGAGAATGTGAACCATGATGGATAATTTTTAAAATTTTTGTTTTAAATTTTATGCTGTGTTCCATATTCAGTTTTGAGATAGTTTTGATGTAGAGAAACAAACTAAGATAAAATGATTTTAGAGTATTGTGAGATTCGTAGTTAAGATATAAATTCCTTTTTTAATCAACATTGTAGTCGGCATCAGCATTGTAGTTACTTAATAAACTCCCTATTACCGGTATGCATGTTACTGTAGATACTACAATAATATTATCACTTTGACTTTTAATCCAGGGATGTAGCTATCCACTAAAGCTGACTTGGGTTGTTGATGATCCTACTTAGCTTTTTGTAGCATCTCTGGTAATCACTTAATAACTAAACTAGTAACTAAATAATAACAAAAGCAAACCTTTGTACATAACTATGAATTCTTAGCGATGTACAGTGCACTAACAGAACTTCAGGAATTAATTTATTGAAATATTTTATAAGGGCATTGAGTTACAATCACAAAAAATCTTTGAAGTACAGGTTTACTGTACATACCACGATAACCTGCACACAGACATTGACTATTCCCTTTGTATCAAGCAGAAAAGTGATGTCTGCAAAATCCCAGGCATTGCTAACAATATTATTAACATTGTATTAATATTGTAATTTGTATTGGCCTGTTGTAAATACAGTTTTAATTGTGTTTTAATATGCCATAGTTTAAAATATAAGTTACTTCCTTACTTGTTACAAAGAACATACAAGTAGTTACATTTTGATATTCATTTGCTTTATACGATTAGACCTACTCTTCCAGTCTCTAAGCAAGCTTCTGGCAATCTCATTAAGAAAGCTGTGACTGAGGCACACCTCTCTGTCAACAAACCAGTGCTTTCATCAAGTCTGAAGTATGACCCAACCTCGCCGCCATCACCAATAAGATCTCATAGTTATGAGGAAAAGCAGCAACAGAAGGAGTTGTTGCTACAGCAGCATAGAGAATTACAAAAACAGTTTTTTCAAATGAAGGAAGCAGAAGTGCATGTAGAACATGAAGAAGAGGAAGTAGGAGAAGACAGTGACAAGGAAATAGAGGGAGAATCAACAGAGCTGGATGGAACCCATGTCCAAAGTGACAGAGAGAAAGGGGAAAGTAAAGAAGTAGTTGAAGAACACAAAGAGCTGGCTGATGCCCAACAACCAGAGGTGTGTTATCAAGCCTTCAAGTCCTAGCATCAACTGACAAATTCTCCTCACGTGCTTGTTACATTTCTCACAGCACAAGTTGAGAGAATTGAGTTATTTACTTGTAGATTTAATTACTCTTTCAGGAACCAGTTATTGAGCTTCATGTCTCTGAGACTGAGACACTGGAATATGGTTCTGAACCTGCTGTGAGCGATACCAGAATTGTCGCCTTTGCCGACAGCCAAGCTGGAGGGGAAGATTCAGATGAAGAGCGTAGAAAGAAGAGGAAAAAGCGGCGAGCTGTGAAATCTAAGAAGTATGTGTACACAAAATGATAACACATATAATACAAGTATACCATGTTGTTTAAGTAATGTTTAAAAAACAAGCATCAGTGTTTTATCGGATTTAACACATGAGGTGTTGCTGAGTGTGGTAAACCTGATAAAAACACATGCTGCAAGTTTTTTTGAACAGCTTCAAAAACATTTGTGGTAGATCTACTCATTTCTAGAATAATCCTTGGGTTTATTATTATTTTTCTGGAGAAAATAGGCTGCAAAGTTTAGCCGTGTCTTTATCAGATTTAAAGACACTCATTAAACATTCAGTTCTTTTGTATTTCCTTTATAAATTATTGATAAGTTTTTGAACTTTGTTTTGGTTTAAAATTTGCTTAAATTATTTTGTTTTCTTTCACATACATTGTTGTTTTAATATGAATCAATCTTGTTTGTGAAACTAAGAATCAATTAAAAATTTAAATCCACAAGATAAAATTAATTTAATGTAAAATACTGGACTGTTCATGTTTATTGTAGCTGGACTTCAAATAATGGTGGAGACTTCAATTTCACCAAGCAAAGTTTGACCTTTTTGAAGAAAGTGAATAAGAGCCACACAAAATAAAATTCAGTGTGGATTATAACATTTCAAACCAAGATCAAGACAGCTGTATATGAAAACTATTTTAGTGGAAAAATAAATCATTTATAAAAATATTAATTGTATGAACTATTGGTGGGTAAAGTCTGTTTACAAGCCAAGTGGCCCATTAAGCCAGAGCTTATCTCGGTTTTCTGTAGCGTGAAGTGACTAGGATGGGATGTTAGTCCATCGCAGGGTTACCCCCAGCTTTAAATTCCGGTTACCCAGCATTAAATTTGCCAGTACCCATTATTTTATAAAATACACCTGGGTGGAGTGTCTTGCCCAATACCATTATGCAATGACTTCCTCTGGGGCTTGAACCCAGAAGGCCTGATCGGGAATTCACAATGCTAACCATCACACNGGATGGGATGTTAGTCCATCGCAGGGGTTCCCCCCCCCCCCCCCAGCATTAAATTTGCCCACACCCATTTGTACACCTGGGGGGAGAGAAGCATTGTGAAAGTAAAGTGTCTTGCCCAAGAACCAACACAGTGTCCCTGGCCAGGGCCCAAACGCAGACCGCTTGATCCGGAGTTGAACGCACTAATCACGAGGGCACCATATCTCCACATGAACTATATTTAACATTTGATTATTAATTATTATCACTTGCCCTGAATGCAGAGAGAAACCAGCAAGTCCAAAGTTCATTGTGACACTGGATGGAGTGGACAGCGATATGGAAGACAAATACGACGTACAGGTCAAGAAGGAAAAGAAGAAGAAGAAATCAAAGAAGAATGCAGAAGTAGATGATTATGAAGAGATTGATACCACGGATGTAACTGAAGAGGTTAAGCCAACAATAGAGGTGGCTATGCCTGAAAAACCAGCCATCAAACAGATAACATTTGATCTGGAAGCTGCTCCTGATGGTGAGTTGATTTAAACCAGATGCATTGTACATGCAGTCACAGGGTTCGAAAAAAACTTTTACTCCAGCTTGCCCTTCAGACAGGTAGCTGTCAAAGTTTGCTTGCCCAGATCAACTCTTAGTTTGCTCTTTATTAATTTAGTTGACCAACAACATACCTGAGCCCTTGCCCAGTGGACAAATGAGAATGTAAATTTACTTGCACCCGGTAAGAAAATCTACTTGTCCCGGACAACCGGACTGCACACATCTGTAAACATAGCTTGTGTCAGGAATACATGTAATAACACCACCAGCTTGAGGGGACATGCATGTGTACACCTCTATATGTATCTCCACTCACACATTCAGTTCTTTCTGAGTTGTATGAGAGTTTCTGTTAAAATCCATACCAATGATATACATGTTACTCCAGAGCTGGATGTTGTGACCGCTGGGGTCACCAATATGACCAATGCTTTTCCACTGGTGACTAACTTTTCACGTTTTTCACAGCAGAAATACTTTTGCTGGCGACTAAATTTGAAAACTTATGAGCTAGCTGGCACCAAGGTTTTTTCCTGAAAGTCCATCCCTGTACTCTCTATCAAGATTTTGTGTAACTTGTTTGGGATTGGTTTTGGGATTTTCCAGCATTGATTTTTCTGATACTCCTTTACACACCTGACAAGCAACAACCACGAATAACAACCACAAACAACATTGATTACACAGGGGTAGAGGATGGAGAGAAGCTTCATCTGTTTCCATCGTTGTGGTCACTGTGAAACTAGTGCATAGTTCTTGACAGTTTTGTCTGGGAGCAGGGCTCAAAAAAAGTGCTGTCCAGTAGATTTTTTGCTAGGCAGGTAGGGTTCAGGTATGTCCCCTGCTGACTAAATCAAAAACGAGAGCAAACTGAACCTGCTCAGGGCAAGCAAAATCTGAAACGTACTTGCCCAAAGAGCAAGCTAGAATTCAATTTTTGCTTAGCCCTGTGGGAGTGTTGCTGGAACTTAACCGTTAGATGCTGAGTTCAGTATGCCAACCATTAGGCCACTGTGCGTCCTTAGTCATTATGTTAATTGTGGTCTATTTTTAGATGAAGATTCCTCTCAAAGTAAAAGCAAGCAAGCAGAAAAATGTAAATTTTGGCCAGACTGCAAGAATGGAGACGACTGTCCTTTCTACCACCCCACAGTAACTTGCAGGTGACTTCTCATGACCTTGAATGTTAATAGATTATTCGTCCTTAATGCCCTGTTTTCAATATACTGCACAATTCTTTCTTACTGGTCTGGGTTTTGTGTGCACTAGCTCAGGCACAGGTGTACCATTCCCTGTTTGNGGTGGCACTTCAGGTTCCCTTCATCAGCCATATATAAGTAAATGTGATTGGACAGGGTATGTTTTCAAGTAGTTTAGATCAGGAATGTAGCTAGAAAAACATTAAGCAGGCTCATTTTATAGAAGTTCGGCCAGCTTTTCAGGCCCAAACATGTGCAGAATTACCCCAAGTTTTCTTGTTCTAGCGAGTTTTCAGCTGGTGATGAGCTCTCTTTCAGCCAATGAAATTAGGTGATGAGCAGCCTTTACCTACATCTCTGTTAGTGGTCAGGGTTTATAAAAAATATGAACAGTATGAGTCAAGGAGTGCAAGGTTTTTATTGGCTGATACTGTAGTAAGAACTGGGTAGCCCTCCCCCTGATGCCCCAGATGCCCCAGATGCCCTCATTTTTCTTGGCTTGATTACCAGCCACTGTTCGTTCCTTCTCCTCCTCACCACCACCACCACTCCCCCCCCCCCCCCCCCCCCCAACTCACTTCTTGGACAGGAGAGGTCCTTTGGGAACCTGACCCAAGACATCATCGGAAATCAAGCCTACGTGTGTTCCGGTTGAAACAAAGTTAATAGATAAACTGTGTTGAATGCATTCAAATTGGGAAGCATATTTCAATTGAATTGCATTTAAATTTATACTAATTATTAGTATAAATTTTGTTATTTGAAATTTTAGTAAATACATGGACAGTGAAACCTGTATTAAGCGGACACCCTTGGGACCCTCACTAGTGTCCACTTAATACAGGTTCTAATATGTTGTGCAATAATAGGTAATCATTAACTCTCTTCAGTGTTTCAGCCAAAAAATTTTACTTGAGGGCCAAAGTGGCCTCTGAAGATATTTTTTAGGGGCCAATTTTTTAGGAAAGGGGAGGGAAAAATGTATTAGAGTACGGAGGAAAATAAAGCAGTTTATTAGGATCTATGACAAAAATTGGTTGTAAGTGCTCTTTGAAGTGTTTCTACCTAAAGAGTTTCTTTTGAATCAGATACTAGTATAAAGGATCCGTAAATTACAAGAGAACAATCCATAAGCATACATGACGTAGTCAATGATCAAGGGTTTGCAATGCGTTATAGGGCGATTTTAAGCACGGTCAGCCATTTGGAAGTTTTCCGCTGTGAGAGAATACAGCGAAGGAAACGGATGGATTGACTTCTTTTCTTATGTTGCATGTTTTAGAAGGAAAGATCTTTCAATATAATTTTCTAGAAGGACATATTGTGTGACAAAATAACCGTTGTTGATCGTCAACGCATAGAAATGTAGTCGCCGCAATGGCGACTGAGCTAGAAGTTTTGGTTGCCAAAGATGAAATGGTAATTGCATTGGCCACCGTATCGGTCGCAATTTGGAGACCTGGGATGGCTTTTAAAATACTATGCCTGTGTTAAGCGTGCAGCCTTGTAAAAGAAAAGGACCAAATTGGCCCTTTTTTCGTTTTTCTGGGGGCCATCTCTGATTGCAACGTGGGATTCCCGCAATGGCGCGGTCTGGCGGAAACACTGTCTCTTGTAACACAGTGTAACACGGTGTAAGGTCAAAGACTAGCATAGTGTAATGTCCAGTCAATCAATGCATCAATCTGGAATAATCTACTTAGCTTTGAAATGATATCGCTGAACAATGTCAAATGAGTGTCGGCTGAACCTTTAGAATTAAAAAGCCCTTGAAGTGTCTGCTTATTGCTGGTTTTGTGCAACAAAATGGCTTAATTTTGGTGTCCCCATCCGCTTAACAGAGGTGTCCACTGAATGCAGGTTTATTTTACAGTAAATGTGGGAAGAAAATTTTGGCGCATCAGTTGGTGTCCACTTAATAGAGGGTGTCCGCTTAATATGGGGTCCGCTTAATACAGGTTTCACTGTATCAAGAAGTTTTTGACTTCCTTAATTTTTCAGATGCACCAATTCAGTCTGTCCCTATACACACAAGTTAAAAAACAAGCTCCAGACCTCCCCTGTAGCAGCTCCAGTATCAGGTATGACACATTGCTGAGGTTAGGCTGTGAGATTTTAGGTGATTCCTGAACAGTTTTTTGACTGCATGGCTCTGCACAAACCAATCAATAACACAAAGGTGCAACCTTGCAATCTTGTCTCCAGAGCCTATACATCATCAGTCAGGGGTGACTAAAAATTTAATGTACAGTACAGTACCAAGCTCTTGAGAAAAATAAAAACCAGGACCAGAAAAATCTTGGTTTGATTGTGCGGATGTGTTTAAGTTTGATAATGGTTTCTGAAAATTCTTCCTTCATCTCTCCTGTCCTTCAATCAGACATAACTAGGCTGGAGGCTAACTCAAAAACCTGATGGTTCATTTTACCTCCAGGATTACAATAATAGTCACCTTATCTTTAACATGCCACATATAAATAAATTAAAATGTACTACAAATGTGAAATATTCATATTTGTTGTGGGAAAATAAGGACGTTGTTGTTGTTGTTGCCATAGGGAGGACTACTTGCTAGCTCCTGTGATTAATGTTTGCTCATATTCCAATTCATGTTTTTTTCTTCATCTTGTCAGCCTTCATGTTTCCATCACCAAGTGTCCTGATCCCTCCAGCCCCCACTGCCCAACCTGTTCCTTGCAAGTTTTACCCATCCTGTACCAAATCCGACTGTCCTTTTTATCATCCACAACCAAAGGTAGGCCTTTGTATAGAATTAAGAGTTACTAAGTGGGCTAATGTGGTGTGAGTATGAGACAGAACAGATTCTTACCGGTGTTAAAAGGAAAACAAGGAAATGGAACTTTTGATGTTTAAAGTGCATGTTTGGAGGCAGCGTGGCATAGTGGTTGGGGCGCCAGACTTGGAAACCCAGAGGTTGTGGGTTCACATCTTGCTATAAGCACTAAGCTGGAGTTGTTTCCCGGTAGACCCCAGTTCAACTCCTTGGCCATGTTTGTAAATAGCTAACTGGTCTGCCTCCCACCGGTTGGGATTTTTAAGCCCATGCTGTTTATTTGTAATATTTGTTTCTTTCAGTTTAAGTGGCATACCTGAGAACTAGCTTGGTGTAGCNTCTAGACCACTTTTAATATCGATTTCAGCCAATCAAATTCGTGAATTCGGTAGTTTCCAGTCCTTGTGAGACACAGCCATATAATAATGGTAATTCTTAATGTCCCTTTAATTGCCTTTTTATTACAAATCTTAAATACCTGTGGGCAGGTGATAAGCATAAAATACCTGATCACATCATGACTAAGGTGATTGTTTTGTTATTTCTCCCCAACTGTTTACTCGGAAATGGAGTAAATAATGTGAGGAGAAATCAGCACTTGATCTCTCCATTCCGTTAATTGGCGTTTTTTGTTGCTTGTCTTGTAGCCTTGTCGGTTTGGGCTTAACTGCACCAGACCAAACTGTTTGTTCACTCACCCAGCAAAACCTTCCTCGTTAAAATGGGTTTCTCCTGCTCTGCACATAAGGTATGATGTATGCTTTTTTTTTACAGTAACTCAAGATGACAGAACCAACTTTTATTTGCATCTTGAAATATTTTCTGTCGAAAAGTTTAAACGACTACAATAGTTTTAATCATATCTATAACAAAATTTTCGATCATGATTGGTTCTCCGCGCGCCTATTGGTCAGATAATCAGCCCGCGATCACGTGGGTGTCCAATTACAGGTATCCATTTATAACTTTTTGTTATTGGATGCCTGTAATTGGATTCGCACGTCAATTACGTGCGCTTTAATGGCTTTCTTCGTCATATCTCCTACAGTTATGATAGGCGCTACTCACTTTTTCGCTCAAAAGAAGTTCTCAAGAGGACTATCTGTAATTTCGAAATTTTGTTATCGATACGATTAGTTAGTAATTGGGCCTCGTGTAGTTTAATTCAAGGAGTAATCATGTTCGTAATTTCAATTATTCGCCCGATTGCTGCCTGAACTGTACTCAACTCGATCCAGTTACTATTACGA